AATGAGCTTTCGAGTTCCTAACGCCTAATAATAATAATAATAATAAAATTAAAGATAATATTATCTCTATAAAAAAATATATAAAACAATACAAAATATTTACTTTTCCATCTGTAGTTAAGCTTGTCATCTTTGTCTTCAGTTTTGAAAAGCTTATACCACAAAGTTTTATAGTTTCTTTCACATCCTTATCTTTATCTTTGGAATTGTTAACATAGCGTTTTATATATCCAATTTTACCATCCATCATGGGTATGTATTTTGCCATTTTTCAAGTTGAAGAATTCCGTTGAAAAATTCCTTGTCTATCAATTCAATCAATTAATTCGTCTTCCTGGCTTCCACGTGCTTTTCCGCTTCACGTATATCGACGCTTTTTAGCTTCTTTTTCTAAAACACATGAGCTAAGAATCTTTTCTTGTAGTACTTGTATCTCTGCAAGTACGCGCGTTTCTTCTTTCTTTTTGAATATATATGATATATATGAATATATATGATATATATATGAAATATATATATATACGATATCACTTGTTGCACGTGCACGGTTTAACTGCTAGAAAATTCGATTTAAGACGATATGTCGGTGGAAACATCGACAAAATACTATTAAAGACCATCAACCCTAGGCAAATTTTCGGCGGCGGGAGTATAAAAAGGGCCTTAAGGGCCCGGAGATAATTGTAGAACGCTGACATTATCGACAATTGATATAAATTTGCTATTAATAAGATAAATATTTGGCTCATACATTATTAAATTCATGATTTTTTTATTACATAAATGTTCCATAAATAAATATGCATATTTGTAAAGTTATAATATTCTTTATATTGCAGAAGTATTACAATTTTTTCTCTGCAGTTATCATCTCTGTTGATAATCAAACTTTGACGATAAATCACTAAAATCATAATTTTAAAGAAAAATCGAATACTATTGAGTTCTAAATGCATAAATACGTTTACTAAACTAATATATCATAAAATTAGTTTATTAACAATATGTTATCAGTTTTTAACTCTTAATTACTTCAATATTCACAAATGAATTCAACGTAAACCCAAACTTCTGTAAGGATGTCAAGTCTTTAATAATATCTTGTGAGGAGTGAAGTTTCTGAGGCACCTCGTCGCTGCATCAGAAATACAATATTCGAAATCGTTGTCATCGTAAGCCCAAGATTACATTCCGTGCATCATGAAACATAAAGCAGCCCAGATCTACTATAAGCTTTTAAATTTAAAGCCATAAGAAGTGGACGAATAATCAATCCAGAGAGCACAAAGTGCTCATCTTTAAAAGATGACTAAAAAACGACTAAATTGTTATAAAAATACCTTTTAATGAAAGAATATAGTCGACGAAAGAATGATTAAAAGATGACAGATGTCGCACTGCTAGTCATCTTATAGTCTTATCCATATGATAACTAAAGGATGACTTTTTTGGATATCTTTTAGTCGTCTTTAATACTTTTTTTATATTTTTATATTTTGATGCAATATAACGTTTAATAATATCGAATTCCTAAATTAATTTTTACACAAAACGAAATAAAATTGTATGACTGACAATATACGTCCCATTTCCTGCAATTTTTACCGTGTCCTATGTGCAAGAGTCATTATCTTTCATCAGTTCAGAAATGCGATGCTTAGTGGGCGCGTAAGGGCGTGATTAGGGCGCGTTTACACCTTGACGGAAAAGCGGAAAGCGGAAAAGCGGAAGCCGGAACTCGTGACAATAGTAGGCGGTACATTCCACTTGTCTGCTTCTGTCTTTCCGCGAGTTTTGATTGGCTTCTGTTTTTTCGCTTTCTGCTTTTACGCCAAGATGTGAACGTTCCTTTACATGAAGTGGTAATGCGAAAACACGGAAACACGGAGGACAAAATTAACTTTACTAAATTTCCACGTTTCCGCGCGTTCTGTTTCGCCTGTTTTAATTTCCTAATATTACATGGAGCACAATTTTCCTGGATAAGCGAAACAATATAGTGACAAATATTTTTGTATTTAATTTAAAAAATTGTATTCACTTAATTCATTGCAATTTTTATCAATGTGTTTATCTTTTCAGCTTATGTATTGAATACAAGCATTTTAATCAATCAATACCGTTAAAAATTAATAATTTTTAATCTCTTGTTTCGCTCAAATTGTACTGCATGTAATATTAAGAGATCAAAATAGGCGGAACAAAACTGCGGAAACGCGGAAATCTAGTAAAGTTTATTCCGTCTTCCACGTTTCTGCATTTTCGCATTTCTACGTTTCATGTAATGGCACCCTCATACCACAGTACATACAGTAATATTAGGAAAAATATTTGGAAAAATATTAAATTAACTTAAAAATGTATATTTGTATAAAGAAATATTATGTAATTATATATCTATGAAAATGTTATGAGAAAGCTGAGAGATATAAAAGAAATTTATATACATATATATCCAAAAAATAAATTTAAAATACAATAAATAAAAAGAAATCCTTTTTGCTTGATTTTCTATGTTACTTTTTGTTCACTTTTTTACTCTTTATCACTTTTTCACAAAAATTAGACCAATCTCTCGAGATTTCTCACGCAACATTTCACCAAATGGACAATACACGTAATACTTTTCTCTAAATTTCTCTGAATCATGTATGCTTGAAAGACAAATGTTTAAGTGGAACATTGAAACGCTTATTTAAATAGAGAGAGAAAGAGAGAGAACAATAAAAAAAGAAAGGAAAAGAGACGGGGCAACTTACTTATTTCACGCACGCGCACTCCATTTTGGCCAATATATAATCAGGAGAATTGTTACTGTATATACTGTATATACTGTATATACTGTATATACTATGCTCATACAATACAACTGCATACCGTTGCCAACTGTATAGCTGTTGAGTCGTGCCGCTTGATGGAGTACCC